AGAGAGAGAGAGAGAGAGAGAGAGAGAGAAGAGAGAGAGAGAGGGGGGAGCGACAGAACACGCGCGTGCGAGTGAGAGAGAGAAGGAGCGCGCGCATCGGGCGAAACACGTCGAGTGCGGAAACGGAGCGAGAGGAGTCGAGAGCGAGAGGAGAGAAAGAGAGGAAAATAAGGAGGTAGATACGTAGAGCAAAAAGGAGCCGCCGGAGGAGCGGCGGAGAACGTATCGTGGGCGTTTGAGTGATTGTTGTTGCGGTGCTAGTTTCCATCGGGAGTCATGAGAGACACGAGCGATATGATGGAGGACGCCCTGTCGGAGGTACGTAACGGCCGATATATTTATAAATCGACCCGCCGTTTGCGTTCCTCGCGCGCGCGTTCCGTTCGCACGGACTTTTAAATTAATTTCCGCCGTGCGTTCTTTCTCCGTTCTTCGCAGGAGAACAAACGACTCGCATCGCTTTAACGCTTTAAACCTCCCCTCGGCCGGGGAGTCGAGTGGTGCCGCAGCGCATTTAAATCACTTCAAAAAAAAAAAAAGAGCGACGCTCTGTTGACGCTGTGTCGCGACGTACCGAATACTCTTGTCATCGCGGATTTTCACGATTGATTTGAAAATATTTCGATGTTTCTTCATTCACAAGAGGCCATTGCAGTTCCTCGAATAAATAATGGACTGGAGATAAATTTGAAATGAACTTCACTGGGATCTTAATTACGAATTCGGGACTTGATTAAAGATAAATGACGATGAATTTATAAAATGTTACAAGTAAAACGATACTCGTAGATTTTAATAACTTAATCGATTTATTTATTCATTTGTCAAATGAGAATTATTTTCAATTGTCGGAAAAATTGCAGACAAGAGAATATTCTATAATTTCGAAATATACTCTATATAGAATAAATATATGATATATAATAATACGAATATTAAAATTTACAAGGGTCACGCCATAAATGATAACGCTGGATATAAAGGCTCGTTACAGGAAATCTCACAAAATATTTGCTTTTTATTAACTAATTTAATCCCGTTGAATTACGGTTAGATAATATAATATTGACACACATTGTTCTACGTTTATTCGCGTGATTAATTAACACGATAACACGTTTACATTGCGTTGAAATTATTTTTGTGACGTTTCCGTGAAACCTACAGCTTCGCTTTATTTAAACTCTGATCGCCTACTTAATGTCTATTGAATTTCTAAGATACATTTCCTCTAAGATACATTTCTCGCGAGATATTCTCGGAAAAATTCCAATTCGCCGATAATCATCTGTATTTACGATCGCATCGTGGAATGCATCGCGAGGTTGTGGCTGTTCGGCTGCCAAAGCGCACCTGCTCGAAATCGATTGCGAACAGGCGAATCGGTTTTTCTTTCTTTCTTTTTTTTTTTTATTTTTTTTATTTCTTTGCCGTCGCGTGGCACGGAACGTTCGTTCGTTTTCGATTGCGATTGCGAAACGAATTTTTTTCTCACGATATATACGCGAGGATCGATGAATTCGAATAATCGCGTTCTTCTTTCCGTTTCTTTCCTCCCTCCCACCCTCCCTCCCTCCCTCCCTCCTCTCCTCCCGTCGCTTTTCCCGTCCATCCATTAGAATGACATTCGAGTTCTGTATGGAGATAGCGACAAACGCGTCAATTTCGTTTGGTGATTTAAATCTCCATTATCAAGCGAAGAGCGTTCCCGTCCACTCGCGGCACAAATAATTCCGATTCTATCCACGCGATATATATACGATTTATGCGACGCGAGGATTATAGAAGCATCCTTTCCTTCCTGTTTTTTTCCCACTCCGGCCGTTTCTCTCAGCCCCTCAGTCGGAGGGTACGTTATTAATGGTAAAAGGGAAACACGATTTACGATCGATTTACGCGTGCGTCCGTTATTATCCGCTCCTCATGCGAGGAATTTACGTCGACCCCCGTCCGCGAAAATCGACTACCCTTATCGCGACGTCTGTTTTCACACTCGTCGTCTCTTATCGTTACTATCTATTATCTCCGATGCGAGCCAGATGATGACTGTAATTTCCTATTTACTGTATTTTAGATCCTCTTTGGATTTTCCAAAGCCCTCTCCTCGCCTCGCCTCGTCTACTTACTTATTTATCTCTCGACTCCAATCTTCTCGCGCCGCGAGTCATCTCGCCGCGAGTTTTCTCGCTTAAAATTCTATCGGGACGACGCCGGGGCGTCGAATTAGAATTTCAAATTGAATCCCATTGCGCGAAGGATGCGCCCTTTTCTGCAGTTAACTGCGTCTTCTCGATGTCCGTGCTTCTTCGAAACTTTGAAGAGAAAGAAAAATCCCTCGAGAAGTGTGATCTTGCATAAAATGTGATAGTCACTCCCGGTGCTCCGACCGTTTGCACTCCTGTTTCTTCGCGGGATTCGCGTTTCAACATTTGTATATTGTTGCATGAGCGGAATAAGTTTCGAATTCATTCTAATGATTCTCTGAAACTTCAATTATCTTCGTTCTTTATCTTTCCTCTCGTTTCGCATTTCTCGTATTGAATCTCTTGTTGAATTTCATTGAATCTTATTTAACCTAATTTTTATTTTCTTTTTCTCAATCCTTTTGATAAAATGAAAATGGAAAACTAATTAGATAAAATTAGATTTTCATTTCGCGAGGATAAGATACTTATTTTATACACGTCTTTATTTATTTTATTATTCTAATGAGATATTAGAAAGATGTTGGATCTTTTGGTCTAAATTATTAGAAATTAAAAAGTAAATAAGCAAGTTATCATCGAATCAACGAAAACTTTATTAGAATATTTTTCTATTTTCGGCAAATAATAACAACAGCATTGCTCTTTTAATACCTATAGCAATTAATTATAAAATATAAAAATAAGACGTTATGTCTTTTTATTTATCATTAGAAATTAAGTTAATTTAGAAAATAACTAAGCAAATTATTAAATAGTTAAATTGGAACAAGAAAAATTTTACGAAAATAGTTTTCTATTTTTCCAACAATAGCGTACTCTTTTAATATCCACAGCATAACACACAACATAATTAATTTCATTAAAGATATATCAGTTTTCATCTTTATTTTAACTACATTCTCTGTATTCAAGAATTAATTCAATTTGCATAAATATGACTTCTTTGCGGAATATATGGCTTATTCACATTCTCGTTTAAATTTTTCGATGCGTAGCACTCTGGAGAATTTTTCTCCAAAAAAAAAAAGAAAACTCTTTTTTCAAGACCGGCCATTTCAACTTCTGGCGTTCAACTTCTTTGAATTCGGAATATGTGGTGGCATCATCCGTGGCATCTTACGCCCTTACATCCGTCTGCCAAGCGATAAAGAGACGACTGTATCGAAGTGGTCAAACGTGTCCTTTTGCTATGTGCTATACTTACACGCCTTCATACATTCTGCCGACGTTCTATTTATACCTGTAAGACTTGATAAAGACGAGCCTGAAACGAATTCTCGTCGTCTTTTACAAGAATACAGCTTTCCAAACCCGAAGTCGAAGGAACTCGGAAAGATTTATCACTTTCTTCAAAGTTGCCTTAATTTTAACGATTTTCCCACCTCGTCTTCATTTTCTATCTTCAATCGGAACTGGGAGACTTAATGAAATCTGATCAACCCCCACCCCGTTTTTTCTTTTTCTTTTTTTTGTTTTTTAAACATTTAAGCTTTACGCTGCGGTTGTTATCGCATCTTGATATCCTTGAAGAATATTTTACTAACCAGAGAGAGTGTAGCTTGTTACGGATTTTTGCAGGTGATAGTTACACATCCGATTACTTATCCTGCCTTATCTGCGTCAACATGTACAAACTTCGTTTACGATCCTTTATTTCTATCGCGTGCGTCGTGATTATTATTTTGCGATGCAAATTAATTAGGCGAGTTGGCAATCAATATCTAACGAATACAAAGTTACAAGAATATGAATACGAACAAAAAACATAACAAAGTTGATTCAAATCAACTTTTTGCAAAAAAAAAGATAACTTGTGAATTATTGCTGTTCACGTCGAGATTTGCATATTGTTTTTTTAAAACGCAATTTGAACGAGAAAAAATTATTTCGATACATGAAAGGATAATGATTTGAAATGAAAATTGATTTACATTTGTCAATTTATTTATTCGAATTGCGTCTCCATTTATTATTTTGTCAGAAAGAAAATAATATATCTTGCATAATTAAATCATCCAATTTGCGATACGTATCAGCCTGTAAATAACTTGTTTTTAATATTTTTGATAAAAATTACAAATGTATACAAATACATGCAACGTTAAATTTTAAAAATTAAAATAATTAGAAAATATAAAGCGAAATAATACTATAATAATATAATAATAATTTATAATTAAAATTTTAGTAACAGGGAAACTGAAAAACACATATTTATTAAACAAGATTATAAAATTAATAATTTTTAGTTTTGAATATATTATTTTAAGTGTTATATAATGCTGATTTAATTTTTTTTTAATTTATGTATCTACTTGTGTTTTATTTTACACTTATGCATTTCAAATATCTTTTATTGCAGTATTATCGAAAAATGAATTATTGTAGCCAATTATTCCATTGTTAGTCAGGCGTGTTTGCGATTTGTCTGCGAACAAAAGTAACATTAATTTAAGTATGTATTAAATTAAGTATTAAAAGTAACTTGTCACGCAAGACGAAACAGTTGCAAGTTCTCTGTCCTTTACAACCAATTGTATTTAATCGTGCCCTCGTTGTTCATGCTATGATAACGACATTCGTTATTAATCTAGCCAAAAATATAGAATTTAGAAATATATTTAGAAGTTTAGAAAAGTTTAGAAATTTAGAAATATAGAATTTTACGAGAGATTTGTATATACGATTTAGATAAAATTCAGTATTAATGGGCAGTGACTTACATCATATAACTGTACCCTGTACTCGAAGTGATTCATTCGCCTTTTCAAAGTGAAGATTCGAAATCGCAGAAGAGGCGGTCCCGAGATCTATTTTCACTTCTTCGTGTATTGATTAGAGTGTACTTTGCGTTTCAGTCACCTTGATTATGCAAAGTGATACGAATGCGAAGCGTCGAACGCGAATTTGCATACGTTTATTGGCAGTGACATAATCGAAGAGGTTTAAGTAGAAAAAAATATTAACGATAAAATGCCACCGGCTTTTGCGTTTGCTACTTGGACTTAGTTTTAGTTTTAGTTTCGATCTTTCGATTATCTTCTCGACAACCAGTAGAAAGGACACTTTCAGCGGAAATTTACTATAATCTCTCGTTTGCATATATCGATTTACGTTCGCAGTTGGACTTGTTCCTAATTTGATAAAAACGAAGATTGTGGTGAAGATCAATCGTGTGGTCGAAACGCGAGTTCCAAGTCCGCTTTAATTCCCATACATTTCCATATCAAAGCAATTAGTGATCAGAGAACTGCGAACGTGTCGCTTTGATTGTGGTTATAATTCCCATCATTGAGGCTATTTCCCGGCGATGATTTAGCATGCGAAAGGCAGATGAAATCGGTTCTTGATATTTTAAATATCATTTCAAATAGTAATTGTTTCTAGATTAAATAAAAATAAAATTAATAAAAATAAAAATAAAAATAATTTTTAAATATGCAAAATATATCAATTTATACGATATTTATATTTATGATATTTATTTATGATATAAATCAGATTATATTTATGATATAAATCAGTAATTTATGCAGTTACATTGTTGCCAATTGAAACTATGATTTTGTCGCCAATGTGTAACATTGTTCTCTTCATCTTAATAGATTTTCGATAGATTGGAAATGTTAGTTTTGTTCATTTTAATATACAATCATTTCATAAAAGTTTATTATAACAATTTTTTATTATAAAAGTAAAAATTGTCATACAATACAATATTACTTTGTCATTTCGTTTCATTACAATTTGATTTACTATATGACTACTTAAACGAATAGCTTGCGATTGTTATAATTTATAGTCGTCATTATGTCGGCAGAGATTATTCGATCCGTCTCTTTATTAGTGATTGCCATTTATGATTCTTTCTTTCTCATTTTGGGTGCCATTTCCTTTCTGAAATTCTCCTCATGACCGGCGGCATGATCTCTTTAACTCATTCGCGAACTTTCTCCGCGTTCTCGCTTTCACCAAGGTCCAAGAGAATTCGCATGGCAAGTTTATTTTTTATCATTTGCTAGAAAAACCCTTTACAAAATTTTTTTCCCTTATTTAAATTATTTTATTTTACAACTTTAACATTTTATAAATTTCATTTTGAATCAATCTTCGTATCTTCAAAATCCAGAAGAATACCTTTTTAGAAATAGATGAAAGAGATGTCTTCCCCATATTTCTATGTAAAATACAATAAAATACAATACTATTACTTGTTTGTCTTGTGATTCTTTTGTCTTTTATTTATTGTCCTTTCACTGGATACACAAATATAATTTACCTATCTACTGGAGCTACAGTTCTGTGTTTTCTGTGTTGCAATCCCGAGACAATAAATTTCAAAATTTACAAAGAAGCAAGGTCGCTCGTAAATTTAATCGGAGTTCTTGGCTAGTTGATGAAAAAATCATTAGAAAAAAAATCAAATATGGTCTTCTAATCAAAAGAATCCCTATCATACTTATGTACTGTGTAAAACATGATTGAAAACATTAACGATTTTCTATTATTCTATTCTTAATTTGTTTACAACATAATTACTGGGAATGTATCATGTATCGCGTTGATAAATTTTGGCAAATCATTTAATTTAACATATTAATTAATACTTTAACATGTAATGTAGTAAAAATTATAAATATATATCATTTGTTATTTATCAAATATTCATAAAATATTACATATGTATATGTAATGTAATATGAAATGTAATATGAAATTTAATATAATAAGGGAGAGAAGGACAAATGAAAAATAGTTAATATAATTATTTAATAAGAGTAATAAAAAAATATATGTATATTTATATAAATATATATAAAATATTTATTTTTTTATTTTATTCTCAAAATATATTTGGGAATTTTATTTAAATCTTTTTTTGATAAGTTAATGAGTGACAATTTTGACATTAAGGGATTTGTCATTGAGAGAAATTGATTGCGACTTTTATGAGCGATTGCATTATTGGATAGTAATTATTTTGAGAGAAGCTTTCTTGATCGAAGAAATTGCGACTAACAGTGTTTCCTTGCGAATTGCTAAGTTTCGTAACAAATTAACGCCTTGGAAATTACTCCGAGTGTTATTAATGCATGCGGTGTTGCATGAAAGTTACATAAAATAACATAAAATAACATAAAATAACAGCATTAATATTTCCATAATAAGTTGCAATAATTCACATTTAATGGCATATCGATTATATTCTTGTTTGAAGTTGCCGAATGTCAGATTTTAGAAACTCTTTTGAATCAGTTTCTGTTGCGTTTGTCAAAATTAATTATTATATCTTGTATTTACTTTAATTATTTATGTCATGGTTATGATATTTTGTCACGTTTTATTCAATACAAACGTAGCTCATATAAATTTTGTCTTATTTAATTCATTTAATTTTTATTTAATCTCGAGCTTGATATTCGTAATGTATTTCATAAAATAGAATTTTCTTTTTTTATATTATTTTGTGCAGGATACAATGATGGATTGTGGAGGGGATGGCGGAGGAGATGGCGGAGGATTGGAGGATTTTGTCGACTTAACTACTGACATCACAGATAATTCACGTACAATACGAGGTAATTTATCTATTATATTCCTATATACAGTCATTATCTACGTAATAAATGTCTAAACAATTACATAATTATAAATAATTTATTAAAATTCAAAATTATTTTTAGAATTCAGAATTTTAAAAGAATACTTAGTACTTTTGGTATTTTTATCCCTCAATTGGGATTTGCATGTGAATGTGAGAGTAACGCACACAATATATTATATAATGGGCTTTAATAAGTGTGAGACATTCATAAAATGTGGGTTTCAAATGAGAATGAGATGATCATTATATTTGTGCATTGCGTTAGTTTTTTTCTGATTATTTCCAATTATATTTTTATTCAATTACGTGATAACCGCGTATATTTCCGTTATTTTTTATGTATCTTTATTTTCTAGCTTTGTAAATCTTTATTGTGTGTGATATGGGACAAATTGAATTTACCCATTTGGATTGAATATGGCAAATTTGGCCTCTTTTTAAGACTTGAACGTGAAATGGAAATATTTTACGATGTCGTATATAAAAGCATATCTGCCCTAGCAAGAGAAAGGTTCTCGTGCCCTAGAAAATCTTTATTGGTGTTCCGTCGAAAAACGTCGCTGTTATGTCCCATAACAACGTTGGACCCTGCCGTTTTCTTTTTTAATGTCCTTCTCGAGCGTGAGAATAGCTGCATTAATTTTCACCTCTCAGTTGTTTGTCAAACGGTTAAAATTATTATATAAGCGTTCCGTGCTTGGAAAATATTTTTTCTAATTTCGTTTATAACGTTTGTTAATTTAATTAAGCGCATAAACAATAATTATATTTTTCATTTTCGCGCGAGACGAGGCTTGCCTCTCTATTTGTGACAACAATACAGTGGCTCCAATTAGTTTGCTGAATCGAAAGATTTTTATGGCGATAAATTCGTCAGGAGGAGGGGGCAGTGGGAGGGGGAGGGAGAGGGAAGGAGAGCGCAATCTTCGAGTCGCCTCGATTAAAACTTTTAATAAGGTGCAAATGACGTAGATACCTTCCGTAATAGCACAACTGCGAAACTTTGTACCCGTATTTATTCGCAAAGTGGTACGCGCGAGTGAGCTATTAAAATTTATTAGGTCGACGTCATTAATCATGGAATATAAGTCGGGTGCTGCTCGCTAGTATCGCGGGAGAATAGCTGTGCGTTTATTACCGTAGTTCACCCGATCTTCTCCTGAAATATGAATTCTCTATGCTAATGTCGGGCTTTTCGTATACGCGTACAGCTACAAGAATTTCTATTTACCGGCAAGAGTTATAGCCCCTCTCTCCTCCTCCCTCTCCCCCCCCCCTCCTCCCCGCCCTTCGTCGGAGCAATTTCAGACGCTATCGCTAAACGATATAGATTATAATGCAACTTCAAAAACGCGAGTAAACAAATTTACGATCGTCACGACGACGCCATACTTGATTCGATTATCTGCGATAAAAAGTCGATAATTTATGTATAATTTATTCAATACGCTCCATCATTATTGACGATCGACAAGTTTACTTTTTCGAATCGGTTATCATAAATCGCGCTCGCTTATCCGCGTGAAAAATATAACGAATTATTCTGTCAATCAAAAATAAATTTTATACGTCCAAAATAATAATTATTTTTTACATAGTTTTTGACAGGCTACATTTTTTCGTGTAATTTGCGTATGTTTCGAAGTAGGACATATTTCGTATATATTTAATATTTTTTATAACGTATGTATTTTTTTGGAGTAGAAACAGTTCGTGCATTAGATACTTTTCAGTCCCTTTAAATCGTTGCTTAACCTAACCCAACCAAACTTTGCTACGTAGACTATAGGAACAGGACATTTAAATGCGGGTATCCCTGTGGGAACGGTCCGGTACAGAGAGTCGCATTGGTGCCTTTTGAGGAGGGATAGAGAGGGAAAGAAAGAGATGTCCGAAAAAAAGGAAGAACGAACGAACTCGCTCTCGCGACTGGTCCAGACTTTTCTATTATTACTGAGGAAAAAAAAAAAAGAATGAGTATGACGCGAATCGTAACACGTTCATTTGTTCTGTTTGAAAAACATTAACTACCCCCTTGCAAAAATAGTTGATTTACATATGTTACATTTGTTGGGATTAGATTATCTTACTTTTTTTAAATAAATAAAATTTTTCTACAATATCGCACTTCAAATATGTATCTCTTTAAATTTTAAATTGGACGTTCATATACTTATAAAGTCAATCATATCGTGTATTTTTTTATATAGATATTTGAAAATCTAATTTTTTTTTAAACGCATTCTTCATTTGCGTTCATTAGAATCAATTTTTATAATTATAGCGTTAATCGCGATAATCATAATAAGTTCTTCTAGGCCGAGTCCCGCGGCCAAAACGTACTTAATCGATCGCTGCCGTTTGATCGAAATCGCTCCCGTTCCCAGGAACAGGTATCTCGAAGTTACCCTCGTCGGAGAAACGACCTTTCCGCTCACCGCGACGGTGTGTGAAACGGCGAGTAATACACATATATGCATCGGGGCGCCGATGCATCGAATCGCATTATAATGCACACCACACACACACATACACACACACACACACACCACACACACACACACACACACACACACACACACACACACACACAACGAGGGAGATGAGAAAGAGGAGAGGAACTCGTGCGAAATTCGGCGATTCGGCAGGGCGGATGCGACGGGGTGTGGGTTTCGGGCGACAGGTAGTTCCCGTGGGACATTTATGGAGCAGAATTCCCACAGGACCGCAAACCGGGCCGTCGGCGGCGGGCCACTCATCGAATCGCGGTCCGGTTGTTACATATAATATCCACTCTCCCGGTCATTGTCGTTGATTCAACGCGAGAGCCTTTATCGCGATGTAATGCATCTGCACTGAAGTCTCGTCTTTTCGGGAGATTCTCAATACGGGACGTCCGATGACTTGACGGATTACCATTCTCACAATTCTCGACTTGTCGTGACTTTTCTTTCCGTTTTCGTCTGTAAATGAATTTCCAATAGGTATATTCGTATAGTCTTATATTCTTCACTTTTTATTTTGATATTGTATTGTTTGATTTTTTTTTTTTTACTTATATGTTGATAATTACAAAATTGTTTAATGAAGCAAGCATTTTAAAATTTTAAAAATACTCACACACACACACACACACACACACACACAAATATTTTATAATAATAATATTATATAAATTTTTTATTTTAGTTTATATTCAGATTGTCTTTGATTTCGCCGTTAGTTTCATTTATGTCGGCTCTTGTTAAAAAATTATTGAATTCTTTGGGTTTTATTTCTTCGAGTCAATCTTCTCGCATTAACGGATAATCTAGGCCGTTTGCAACCTGCGTAGATGCCGCCGAACGGTTGCTGACCTTGTTAGGCATGGACGAGGACGATGAGGACATCTTGTCGTCGTCGGAGGACGAGGGTGTCGAGGTAGATATCGATGAGCTCGAGGAGGACAACGAAAAAACGGATAATACCAAGTTACTCTGTCAACTCGCCGCCTCCCTAGCCCAGGAACTCAAGTACTCCCAGAAACAGTCCTCGAGCAGCAGAGTGCCGTATCAGGATCAAAGTTCGTTGCATAACGTGGAAATGCTGCAGGATACGAGTTACCTCGGGCGCGGTTGCCTTCAGGACCAACTGGACCATCCGAAAACGTCCGTTCGTCAAAACGATTTCGATCAGGACGATCTCGATTTTTTTGACGATCTCGACGAGCAGAACGCGAATTTCACGAAATTTAGAAACTTCGACGACTTCCGCCAGGAATCGCACAGTCGAACTTTCGCCTCCTCGAGCTTAGACCGTCGCCTGTGGACGGACGATCCGGCGGTCACGCAGACCGGAAAGTCCTTCGGCAGCCAGGACCAGGATCAGGATCTTGATTCCTGGACGGCAGGATGGGATGCTTGCGCCACCGAGGCTCTCCGGTATCTCGTCGAGGACGAGGGTCTACCGCTTCATCATCCCACTATCATCGCCATGAAGAATCATCTAGATCTGCAAAGGGAGAGAGCATTCGCTCAGTACACCGGGTATACGGAGGCCAAGTCACAGGACATGAGTCTACTTTTGGATTGATGAGGCTTCAGAATTAAGGTAGAGAACGATTCAATTTGGTTCGTGCGACGTGTCTCGTTGAAGAATTAAAAATCTGGGATAAATTAATTTTGTTATTTAAATAAGGCAGGCATCGTTGTGCATCGTTGTGAAATCGTTTTGCGCAAGATTCTTCACTTTCTTATATATTTTTCTTTTCTTAAAGAGAAATCTTAATTTGCTTGACTCATAAAGATATACGTCATAATGTCATAAATAATTCAGCATTATTATTATGTTTCATTGATTCTGCTACTTTGCTCGGAAATAATGAATTGAATATTGCTTGATATACCTTTGTTGAAATATTGTTAATTGTTAGACATACATTCTGAACGAAGCATCAATTTGACATCGGTCCTACCTCTTGATGATTATAATTTCGAATAAACGCGTTCATACGCTGGATCGATATGAACGACGTTTGTTTGTTTTTTTTTTTTGTAACGTTGAGAATTTTGAAAATCGCCAATGAATATCTTAATCAAGGATTAAGAAAGTTTTCTTTGTTTTCAAAGAAATAGTTAATTCCTAGCGATACTTTTCGAAAAAAAGATGGCTTTGAACATCATTAAGGGAAAATATTTCTAGCAATTAGAATCATCAGACTGTAGAGAAACGTTCTGCGAATCAGAACTAGAATTATTCTTAAAACAAATTTCTAGGTTAGTTGTCATCATAATTAAAAAGATGATCGAAAGAATTAAGATAAGAATAACGGAGAAGAAAGGAAAATGTTAATTACTCATTATAAGAGGCATCGATGATCGCCAACAAAATGTCGCAAAATGTTTTCGAATTGTTATAAAAAACAATTTTTTATACGTTTAAAACGTTTATTAAAATAATAGGCAATAGTTTATAAAACGTATTTACAAATAACTTTTTTTTAAATAATTTAAGAAATCGATTTTCTAAATTGCTGCGTTTTGTCGGCGATTATGAGCGAAACGATTTTCAGTCGAATCGTATACGAAAAAATTGGCTACAATGTCGACAATAGAAAAGAGAAAAATTTTAGCCCCGAAAATATTGTATATAATTCAGATTAGACGAGAGACGACGAGAGCTCAGAGATTTAGGTAGGAACTTATTCGGTCGTAGATCAGCGAATTTTTATTTGTGAAAAAAATTATGATATGGAAATGTCTGAGGTCTCATGATGAATTATTCAATCAGTGATCTAAAATACGTATCTTCTTCGAGAGCACTATAGTAAAAGAGTAATTTTTTAGAGCTACATTATTTGTTAGACAACAAAAATGTGCACATGGATCGTCCCAACATGTGTCTCAAATCATAAAAGCTCATTGTAAAATCTCAGAAATTTCTATATCTTAAGGATCAGCAGAAGTGACAGATCCAATAAAATTATCTATTTCTTATCTATGAATAATTATCTGCAGATATATGTTTAAATTCAACGATATTTTATCTCGTAGAAACAATATTGAACATAATTATGACATAAAATTTTTTTAATGTGTTATAAAGTTACAAAGCTTGCTACAATGCAAAATTTTGCAATTTAGCTGTTAAATAATTATAATATAATATTATAAATAATTATCTATTTCTTATTTGTGATGCAGATGTTTGTTTAACTTCAATCATTCTATTTCATCTCGTGAAATAAGAAATAATATTTTGCCATGCCTTTTTTTATATATTTGTTATAAAGTTACGAAAGTTGCTTCAACAAAACTGGATTTTGCAATTCAATTTTCAAAAATTTACAATAAATAAAAATATTTCTAATTGCTTTATTTGTATTTATCTTGATAGTGCAAATTTAGTGACACATCGAAACAAATTATTTATTCTTGCTCTTTAAGAAAAAAAACACTCTGCAGTAGCTCGCAGACGTTTATTCTGATTATAAATATCGCAATTACATTGCAAATCTCTCAATGTTTTAGTTGTAACACATTGGGGTGAACAGAAATCATCTAACATCTAAGACAGAGATCTCCGTAGTTTCTCCTGCTGATCCTCCGTTATTTAGGTCTTTACGATCATCGTTCCTCTCATATGGGAAATTGATCAGAACCGTGCGTCGATTGCAGTGTTGAATCAATCTTGCACATCAACAAAAAGAATAAAGAATAACAAAATGAAACGAGACGAATGAAACTGATTATTGCGAGTGATTCAGGATCGACGATTGACCTCGATCGTGCGTCACTTGTCAAACAGTTAAAGAGGCTTCACACCGTGATCGATCGTATGCAAAAGATCGAGATACGACTGTGGAGAAATAAATTGCGGAGAAATTTTGTAGTCCTCCTTTTCACGGATTTTTTTTTACCAGGGAAGTAATCGACGTTTCTTCCCCCCCCCCCGTGACCGAATAGTGAGCTGTACATATGTATGATATCGTTTTAACTTATACACAACTATTGTTACTTTTACAATAAATCTCTGTAGATAACATTGACCAGTAAATAAACGACCGCTAAGCCCTTAATTAAGCCCGTCGTCTCGTTCTCGTCTCCCCAGTCCTTAAGCAAGACCGAAGTATTTGTTTTTACCATTCAATGCGCCTCAAAAACTGTACTCTTAAGCATTCCCTAAAAAGACCTGACTTTAATTTTATTATTAATGATTTATGATAAAATAATTTATAATTATGAAACTTTAATTAATCAAATCAGGGGCACAAATCGTAAAAAGGGACATCTCTCTCATCTCTTCAAAAGATTATTATACCGAACGTTATGTGTATGTCACGTGCACGTGATAATATAAAAATGTAACACTTTTATAATAAAATGAAAAACTTTTTTACGATACAACTACCGAGCTTAGTGAGTCCATAAATTTGGCCGTTTTTTTTTCTCAGTTTTCGATTCGTCAAGAAAATTATCGATTTTTTTTTATTTCAATTCAGCGCAAACGCAACGCAGTATACATAATACACATTTTAATACGAGATCTAGAAATATTAATCCATATTTGTAATAAATAAAAATCATTAATAAATCAAGAATGTAAAAAAGGAGCTGTTCGAGCTAGAAAAGCTAGAAGACGGTGCTAGATATATTTTGTACAAATAGTACTGTTTACAGAAAAATTCTTATTCGTTAACGCAAACGTCTCGATGCGTCTTCAATGCGGTCATCTGCAGTGCGAAAATTAACAAAATAATTAAAATCTAAAGCCAGAAGCTAAAGAAAGCTATTTGGAGGACGCCTGTCGGAGGACATTTTCGGTGGTAACGGCTCGCGATCGTGGTGAGACACTTAGGGATAGGGAAAACGTGCGCGATCGAAGGAACCGTGAATCTGGCACGCGACTAACTTAAAGAAAGAAATCGCGCATCGTGCACCTTTATCAGGGTTGTTCGCCGAGGAGGGAACGCCAATCTCTCTACGCCAATGGGACATCTGGTGTTGGTTCGTAGCACATGCCATGCATCTGCTCCGTCGAGGTACTTTTGTTGTCTTCGACGTCCACGTCCAGCGAAAATAAGCCGGGGCAACAGCTCGCCGACTGCTGTTACCAAGAGAATCTACCGTGCGCTTACTTTCTTCACTACTTCTCTCGTCTTGCTTGATCCTCGAAACGCACGTCCGCCGGACCTCCCGGCCGCGATTTCGCGATCTTTCTATGATGTCCTCGCTGTCAGGCTCGCTCGGAGAAGATAGAAGCACCAGATACCCGAGGAAGAGGCACGACCATAACGGGAAATGATGCCCGATAAGATGACCACCAATGAGATCGAGGGATGTTATGGAGTAATTTAATTACCGTGCCATATAAAGATATCTCATCTCTCTTGATTAAAACTTTTAAGCCTTACAGTTGTAATAAATGTTTGATGTACGTTGCTACAGTGCGATCGCCCAGCGTGCATCGCACCCGATGATTGCGACTCCTCCCTCGTCTCTATCGCAGAACATCCTGCCGTTCGAGACGAAGCATACGGTTTTTTTGACTTTTTTTTTTTGCCATATGAAATCGTTTCGGTTTTTTGGAACGCATCGGTCCAGGACGGGCGGGACGACGGAGGAAGGTGGTGTTCGCGAAGGGGAGAGAAACAGCTGTCCCGGGTGGTAACCGTCAGGTGGTATCCCGTCAGCTCGTCAGCTGCGGGGGTGAGAATACGAAAGAAGGGTTGAGAGGACATTGCGCCCGGGCGGCGGCCGTCGACATTGCATTCCAACGTGGATCACGTTGATTGGAAAAAAATTGACATGCCGACGCACTCTTGCGGCTTGGTAGCGGCTTGGATAATTTAAAAGTGAATCCTGCCTGAATAGAAGTAAGTGACACGTTCGGGATACAATTAAATAGATTCTATTAAATATATTTCAACGTTGATTTAAAATAATTGCTATTTTGATAATTTGTATATAATTATTATGACACAATATTCTATCATGTTTGTACTTGGTAAGAACAATATCTTTTTCCGAATATTAATAATCAATCAATTTCATTATAATCAATTTCTCCCTTTCTTGCTTCTTTTTATTTTCATACTATTTCACTTTTTTTTTTTTTTTTTTAAGACAATACGATCTCGATAAGTATGAATAATTTGGGCAAAAGAACAAAATGAAGTGGGATCATTTTATTATCAGATGGTAAAGTAATTTTTTTTATATACATATCGAAAACACCTGCAAATTTCATTTATAACGGCGAGTTTGAGAGGTGAGTTATCCAAACGCGTTCGTTAAAAGTGGTAGATAACGAATCGCTTTACAAAGCGAATTGCCATATGCACGCCACGCGTATGCGTATTGCACTTTTCCGTCCGTGAAATTTGATTGCTATTTTAATAACGAGCGTGACAAGGTTGTACTCTCAGTCATTGATGATGTAGATAATTTCGAAAGAGGCAGATGCGTCGCCCCTCTTCCTTTCCTCTCGACGTCCTTCTGATTACGACATAAATAAATCTGAAAAGTAAATTTAAACACAAAGATACGGTAGTTTACACACGCTGCTTACTCATGCTATTTATCGAGCTAACAATCGCATCCGATTTACGTATTGATTGACTGTCAACGTGATCGACTATCTTCTTCGTCTGGAATTGCATAAAGTGTAAAAAATTCTATGAAAATCTGCGTATCGTAACAATAGACTTATATTTTTAATTAATTAAATGTCTACGATAACTATTTACTTTTTGAACAGTTTTATTTTTTACCTCATTTTTTACATCAAATAATTTTGATTTATTTTAATTTCTTAATTAATGTACGATAAAAAAAAAAGCGGTACAATACTCTTTGACTATTAATCCGTGTGTGCATAAGAACTTTTACATTTAACGACGGATCTTCATCAAGACACCGAGAGGTCCACGAGCCCTCGATTTAGAGGTGAAAGGTGTTCAGCACGAGCCATACCGTGCCGCGATCGTTCCTTCCGGACAGCTGCCGCTATTTTTCGAAAATAAAGGTGGGCCCTGCCGTCTGTCCGCGGACCTGCCACGTGCAAAGGGTCTTTATCTCGGTCCGTGGACTTTTTCCAACCGATTTTAATCAACCGTCCTGATTATATTCATCTTCACGCACGAGGAGCGCGGCGCTCATTAGCCGTGTCGTCGCGCGATTCTTCTCGTAGATTGTGTAAAATTGCAAGGCGACACGACGCGTCTCCGTGGTGCCGATGTTAGCGACTTAGCCGAAGACTCGACCCGATCTCCTCCACACGGTTAGTAGATTCTGCGTTAGCAGATGTATACTTCCGGCAGCTGTAAAAGTGGTGTTGTACCTCCTTTATGAGTGCACGCGCCCTCGACGCGCACGCGGCGAGACAATAAGCACCGATTGGCTATTAAGTTCGCATCTGGCGGATTTCGTGAGAGATCAATTTTTCCATGCCGAGGATTCAACGGTTCGATTCGATTGGAAACAAAGCGAAATTGAGCGAATTTGTATATGTAATTTTTCTTCGGCGACGTCTTTTTGCGGATCAAAAAGTATAAAAATATTTAATTTTTGTTCGGTCTTATTATTTAAAGTGACGGTCTCTAGATTAGTGGGTCATTTAAGATTAAAACGATTTTCATTAATTTTTATAAATTTCACAATCAAACATTTCAAAAAGTTACTAATGTCAATGTAAGTAGCAAATATTATAATTGTAAAGAAACGTTATTCATAAATTTAATTGTGATTTTAAAAATGTTTAAGTCTCAATTATTAGTAGGATTAGTAAATTTCATATCCCGTTAATGGATCAATAGAATAAGTTATCTAATTCTAAGTTGATAAAAAAATTAC